ATCTAATAAGTCTTTTAATGTTAGATATTCAAGATCCTCACAGAAACCAAACTTTTTTTTAATAGTATTTGAAACCCGAAGCCAACCACGACGAGTCACCTCAAGAAGCAAATTAATTCGCCAAGGTTGAATATTAATTCCAAGCCCTTTCGTTTGATCAAATAAATAATTGTGTAGCGAAGAAAAAAACGGATGGTACTGTATATAAATGAGCTCGCGACTGTTCAGAGATATATGCAATGGTCCGATTATTGGAATAAATGATAATACGTCTTGAGGAATATTAGACTTATCGCCGTAAGTCAAAAATTGAGAAATCGCGCTTCTAACAAAAATTTGCCCAGGCCAATCAGCAACGAGAGGTAGGATATAACCAAAATTGAAATACTTTTGCATCGTATCCACATTCCTAATAACAGCAAAACTCTCCAAGTACTCATTAGTAGAATGTAAACTATTTTTTACAAGGTCAACAAGCACGATATCATTCAATGATCTATCATTTATTTTTTCCTTGAGACGAAGGTCATAACTATGAACCGTTAACGCCTCCATAGTTTCCTCTTCATTTTCACTTACCTTATTATTCCATCGTTCATTAAAAGTTACTCCCAATAATGTCATAAATCGGTATTCTAAATCAGCTTTTAGGGAATTCGCATCTACGAGCTTGGGATTGTGAATACTTCGGCCGTTATAATTCATAGGAATTGGTAATGTCGTTCTTATAGGATTTAACAGAATTGTTGCCATGTTAACTGCCGTCGACGTTTCATTATTTTTTGGAACACGGTTCGTATGTATATTATGGTAATCGTCTACATTTAAAATCATAGTATTTTCCTGATAATTCTCTAATTGGTTAGTTATGGATTGTACATGATTCTTAGAAATTTCATTTTTCTTACGCCAAACCGTTTGTGCCGTTGATGTAATGCCGAGTTCTGCTAAAGCATTGATCGTTGAATTACTTGTACCTGTAGAATCAAGATAAAGTGCTAAATCACTTTTTACATTAATAATAAATTTGTTACGCAGACTACAAAGCAAATAACAAACGAAAAGCAATTGAGACAATATTTTGGGGTGTGATTCTTCTTTTTTCTGTGATAGATTTACTGATAATACAAGTTCTTCGAAAAAAATTGATAAATTTTTATTTTCTGATTCCATATAAGCACGAAATTCTTCGAATGTTTGAAATGCTGGCAATTTTTTTGTTACTTCGCGCTTAAATAGAATATCAGTCATGATTTTTATTGCCATTGAAAAGGATATAACCTCTGGATCTAACGTATTAGCCTCTGGATCTAAGGTATTAGCGTCGAGTTGTTGAATATTAGAAGTTGCTTTTGCATGCTCCTTCATCGCAACTGATGACTGCATTAAACCGTTATAACAACGTTGGCATACTTCTTGACCGACTTGCAAGTAAGCTGGTAGGGTACCATTGTCTCGAGCTCTTTCCCAGACCCAGTCAGTTACAGTTTTTATACGTTGACCAGGAACTTTAGAACATACGGTTATCGCGCATTGCCATTCTTCCATGTTGAAATTAGCTCTAAGTAAAGTATACCTAAATGTTGGGATTATTTGGGATTATTTTGTATGAAGCCTTTTGCAAGTATTCTAAACGATTTTTGATAGTTATTTAATGATGTTATAGTATAAAAATTTTTAGATCTCGAAAAGTACTTTAAACTGTATAAATTCAATTGAATAAGATTGACCAATCAGAAGAAAGTTATCCTATATCGAATTAATAGCCTCCTAGATAGGATTGCCAAAATTTCACAATTTGATTGGTCGATCACCTGTCGATCATCAAAAACTTCGATCCGTCCCCGAATTAAGCGAAAGATATAAATCAATAAACCACTCTTTAAGGTTAGGATTAAGGCCAAGAGGGGAGCATAATTTATACAAAAATTTCGCAAGGTTAGAACGTAGAAATCAATTTCATAGACAAAATTCGATTTTTTGAAACGCGTGATTTTCACGTTAGGAAAATTTTTATGACCACATATTTGAACATCACATATTTCAGTCCATTCTATTTCGGGCCAACAATAAATAACGCCTTAACGTTAAATTCTGGAAATAAACTTCTGCAAATTCCGCAAATAAACTTCTGCAAATTCCGCAAACCCATTGAATTCGACAAATGCACCGCAGAATTTGCATGAGTCTGGACACTCTAGTTCATATATGTAATATTAATATATATTAATATACACATTCTTAATAGCAACTAGAGGTTCCAATTTGTTAATACTACTATTGTTAGTTGTGACATATGTCGTACTTTTAAAACAATTAGCATTGGGCGTAGTATCATATAGTGCTCCCCCGTGTGATGCAATTTGTGAAAAGTTTAATCACGCATAAATTGATATTTTAAAAAATTGACACATTATGTCACACCAGGTACTATATGGAGCGCCAAATTACTTCGTAATTTTAGTTAAATAGTCCAAACACCCAAAATGTAGTAATAATTGTTTAATTATTGGTGCTTTGTATGACAGATTATACAGTTTTCAATTTTTATTATCGCTACTATCATGCTATGAAATTAATTATTTTTCCTTCTTGCAATGGAACCTGATTCACCCACAATGAATAGATTGTCACTTTCGAATTATTTAGATTCTTGTCCTAAAAGATTTGGATATAGGCTAACTGAAGATGCACAACAAAAAATACTCGAACAACTATTTTCAGAGTTCTGGAGATCTAACGAAGAGTATAAACCATTATTTTTTCCAAATGGGCTTGTAGAGAGTCCTAATGTATATAAACTAAGTCTTGTCGATGGGGAAGAAATGAACGAGTACTCTCCCTCACAGAAAGGAAAAGCTTGTGGTCACGTTTTTAGAAAAGGGGAAAGCATATATCGCTGCAGGTGAGAAATTGGAAATCTACGGAAACCTATCGTGTACCTCAGATCGAGAACTAGATAGTCCATATGTGACTGTTTAATTGTTTAAAACTCTATTAAATGGCTAGATATATGTGTTCAATAACCTATTAAAGGTTAACTTATACCATACTTAATGTATATTGTTAAGAATGCCATTTTTAGAATAAAAATTACTTTTTCTATGAAAATTGTTAATTAAATAGACCCATTCTTTTCATTTAATAGAAATTGTGCACTTGACGACACATGCGTTTTTTGCTCGCGTTGTTTTCATGCTTCAGATCATGAGGGACATGACATTACTTTTTCTATAAATTCTGGTTCTGGTGGTTGTTGTGATTGCGGTGATGAGGAGGCCTGGAAAAGACCTATTCGGTGTTCCTATCATACATTAGGCATATCATCAGATTTTAACAACTATGAAACAATACAATATGAGGAACAATTGCCACATGATCTCATTAATTCTATTCATGAAACTGTTTCCACAGTCCTTGATTTTATGTTAGATACATTAACAACTTCTCCTGAGATGAGCCCTCCTCTTAATGAAGATGAGGTTAGGCGGGATGCTTTAAAAGCGGGTTATTTTATCAGAGACTCGATAAATAATTCTGAAGAAGAAAAATTGTTCGCTGTTGTGCTTTGGAACGATGAACACCATTCTTTTGATGAAGTAATAGCTCGAATCGTGGAAGCAACCCAACGCAGTCAAGCTGATGCAAAGCGCATGGCAGAAACAGTCGACTCTTATGTACGTAATTATATTATTATTATTGATTGTTTAATTAATAAAAGCTTCTCCAATATATATCTTGGCGAGTGAATTTTTTATTAAATTTAATTCTGAAACTCTAATTATTGATCAGGGACGAGAGATCATCGAAATATCCGAAGATATTCCTCGACTTATTACCATAGCAAGGACTATATCACAAATAGGACTGGCGGTCACAGTGAGATCTGCACGGGATACTTTTCGTGAAGGAATGTGTGGTCTTTTCATTGATTGGTTAAAGGATCTTGCTGGTGGAAAAATAGGTAAAAATTCTACAATATTAAAGGAGATAATCTGTGAAGAGCTTTGTAAAGAATGGAAGAGACATCGCCGCGTTAAGGTAACTAAAGAAAAACCCAAGAATTTCGATGATGCGTTTGATGATAGGAAAGGTGAAAATATTCAAGCGGAAAATGGAGATATGAGTGACGATGAAGTAATGGTATTCGTAGATCATGATAATGGCATGAATATCGAGGATGATGCATCTACTGAGTGTAATCAATCTACTGAGTATAATATTGATGATGATATATCAATGGACGAAGAATCAAACGACACCATAGAGCTTATGGATGAAGATGAATATATATTATGTCAATCTATCGAAGATTTCAAAAAGGAACTGCGACTAGATAAGTTGTTACTATTAGATTTAAGGCTTTGGAAAGCGGCACGAGCAGGTCTTAGAGAGTTATATGTAGCGTCTTTGATTGTGAGTCGAGAATATAAAAAGATTTTGGGTAATTTTAATTTATTTTGAATGCATTTTGTGTGTATTGTCACTATCTGATATTCATTCGCTTTGATGCTGTTAGGTATTCGGTTTGCTCGTAATTATGTCAAACTTGCAAAGGCATTTCTTACTCCAGATCGTGAACCTGAGCATTCTATTGTCCTTTTCTCTGTTCAACTCTTTACTGTACCTTCTATATCTACCATCCTTGTCACACAATACAACTTCCTTTCCACAATATTTGCAATACTTCACACATTTTTCACTTCAGATACAGTTGGAGGCCCTATAAATTTACGTGCAAAAATCGATTGTGATTCCGACAGTTTTAAAAATCGACGCTATTTTCACATATTTCAAGATCTTCGGTACATCATTAGCAACGATATTGTAAAAAAGGCAGTTCCAAACCAACATTATTATCTTGCCCAGTATCTCAATTTGATTGCTTTGTTCCAAGGAATGAACCCTAATGTGCGTGCTACTCAGCAACACGTTGAATATGAGAATGATAGCTGGGTAAATGCGTTCAATGCTACTTTACAGATAGCCAAAAGTTGTCGTCAGTTTTCCGAGTGTTACGCTGTAGATACTGCAACATTATGCACGACCATTCACATGGTCTTACGAAAATTATATGAAATATGTGTGAGGAGTGAAGATGATGTAGACAAAATGGATGAAACAAATGATGAACATCCAAAGGAAGCTGTAACTCCTGATTGGGTAACATCCGCTCCTAATTCACATGGGCCACTTGCAAGTACTACCAAATCGTCGGATAGAAGTGATGATAAGGATGGCATTAGTTCCCCTATACGCGAGCCAGAATTTCACGATGTAACTTTTCCACAGAACAATTATTTACTTTCCTTCAAGGTTGTAAAGTTTGAAGTTGCTTCGCAGCCTGTAAGCTTTCATCACCCATTACACTGGTTTTTGGCTGAATTGCTAGAACATGTAGATTTATTGGATGACGATATTTTAAAGCAATATGGGTTGGATAGTTTACAGAATATGATATTAGGATTTAATGCTGGAAGCGCGGAAACAAGTTTAGTAAATCAAAAAGCTATAGAAAAAATTTTGGGTGTTCTAGATTATCCGTTGAGAGGTAAGTATTATAAACGATTTGGAGTTTCATTTACAAATTCTTTAACTGTCTTTGTTTGAATAGTGTTGGTACTTCTAGCCCAGATTCGCGCTGGATTATGGGTGCGAAATGGTTTTGGCATTCGCGGTCAGGTAAGTACTCCATAGAATATTTATCGCAATATATTTTTGGCTCAATATTTATTTATTTTAAATTGTAGTGTCATCATTACCGAGAGTTTTCCCTTCGAGAAAATACTTATGACGAGGACATCTTTCTTATTCAGACTGCAATGATTATTTTGGATCCAAATTTGGTTCTCGCTACTATCTTGGACCGATTTGACCTTGTAGATTGGTTTAATGGTGGAACTACACACAATATATATGATACTTCACAATTAATATTCATTGCGGAAGAACTATTAGCACTCTTGATTATTTGTGTCAGTGAACGTGCTAATGCGGCTGGATTGACCGTTGAACAAGAGATTAGGCGAGAAATAATTCACGGGTTGTGCTTAGGTTCCATAGCGTATTCGGAATTGACAAAACGTATACCAGACCGTCTTACACAGGATCCACTGTTTGACGACATATTAAAACAACTTTCCCATTATCGTCCCCCGGATACATTAACTGATCATGGGCTATATGAGCTTAATGATCAGTATTTTGAAGAAGTAGATCCTTATTTTATACATTATTCGCGAAACAATCGCGAAGAAGCGGAAGAAGCTTTGAAAAATAGAATGAAGAAAAAAATGGATAATCTCGAAAAACAAAACACACCATTAATCATACCAAAATTGATTCCGATTACCAGTGGACCCTACGTACGGTTGGGAAATATTCTCCATGCGCGTTTGTTGAACCAAATAATATTTTATTCTCTTTGGCACGTTAAAACTGAAGAAAAAATTAAATCAGACACGCTGATAGATGAAGCACTTCATCTAGCTATGCTAGCCTTATCAGACGAAAATAATGATATTATTCGGGAAAACAAGCGAAAGGGCAAGCAAAAAGCAATCGATGCCCCGATATCAACAGATATTGATGAGGGCTTGCCTGGGTTCATGTATTATGCCACATTCGATTACTTCCACGAGACAAACAATAGCGCAATGGAAGCTCATGACACAAGCTTATTAGAATTATTACTTCAATTTTCTTGCGAGCAAAGTTTCAAAGAATTTCATCACAAAATAGCTTTTATCATCAATAAGTTTGAACAGCTGGGTAGTGATATGGCTAAAATGGCCATCTCTAAGCATTATGAGAAAATTCGACTCGAATCGCAGTCAAAAACGGGAGAAGAAGATGGGCTTTCGGAATATGAACGGAAAAAACAGGCCGCTAAAGAAAGACAAAAAAAGATTATGGAACAGTTCGCTATTGCACAAAAAAGTTTTATAGATAAGCATGAGGAATTATATGATAATGATGAAATGGATCAGGATTGGGAAATTCCATCTACCGGAGATCAATTAGAAGTTGATGTTATAAAAAGCTCAGAGACTTTTTGGTCATATCCCACAGGAACTTGTATAGTTTGTCAAGAAGAAACTAATGCATCATCGCTTTATGGTATATTGGGACTTGTTCAGCCATCCAAATTGTTGCGACATACACCATTTGACGATAAAGATTATGTTTTTGAAGCAATTAATTGTCCCGAGAATTTAGATCATAAATATGATCGTTCAGTCCCGTATGGAGTTGCATCTTTAGCTTGTAATGTGGGAGTGTCTGAATCATCAGCTCCATCTCGTCCTTTTTCGAGTAAAGGCTTTCCGTCCGATTCTTGCCGATTAGGATCATATGCTTCGACTTGTGGACATTTGATGCATGTAAAATGCTTTGATACTTATTTCTTGTCACTGGAACAACGTCATCAACTACAATTAGCAAGAAACCATCCAGAAAATGTCAGTCGTAAAGAATTCATGTGCCCATTGTGCAAGAGTTTGGGTAATGTTTTATTCCCGGTCGTTTGGAAAGTAAAGAGGGAGATTCATTCTGAAAATTTAGGCGAAAGTGTCAATTTTGAAACGTGGATGTGCGATAAAATCGGTTCTATCATTGAAAAGTTTGACATAAATGCTGAGTCATTTGCATCACGATCGCTTGTTCCGCTTTCAGATCTCGAATTTGCTCGTCGAAATTCATCATTTGCCCCTCGAACATCTACCGAAAATCGGGATTTTACTAATAATACTGTATTACCGGCACAGACTCAAGCTCTTGCCCAAACAATTCCTAACCAACAAAGGAGGAATAGCAATGGTCCTGGTAGACTTAGAGACGCGTTTACTCAAATTGTGCAACACATGCTAAGAACTCCGACCACACAGGACGTGCCTACTACTGTTACAGATGAACTATCAGCGCTTTCGACACCAACCTCGTCTAGAACCGATGGATCCACAACTTCAGAGGATGAAGATCAGGAGATAATCCGTAGGATGTATAATCGCTTAGCAGAAGTTGTACAGATCTCATATCAGAACATTCTAGGTGATATCTCTCGTCAAAGTATGCGACATATAAATGTTGAGTGTATTTGGGATTTATTTGGTTATACGATATCTTGCGTAGAAATATCTCAACGAGGTGTTGGTGAAAATCTTCCAGGAACTACTATAGTTGACAGCTTAAGTACACAGACACTAACTATTCTTAGAATTCTTTCGGAAACTATTATCACTTATATTAACACAATGTTAGCCAATGAATCTGATGAGACTAATTTGAAACAAATGGCTTCCTATAGAATTCATCAAATATTTTATGGGCACCCTATAATACAACAGCAAGAGAGCACCACGATATCTAGTTCTATTAATGGTGATTCAATACAGACTCATGAGAAATCTGATTCAGGTTTATCAATAAAGACAAAACCTTTGTTACTAGAAGATCCCTTTTTATTACTTGTTGAATGCAGCATGAACATGATATCGGTACTCGAAGATGAAATTAGCCATTTTATACGAATACTATTTGTAGCCGAAGTCATCAAAGTAATAATTTCTGTTACTGAATCGGCAACCAATAACAAGACTAGGGCTTGGAGAGATGAATTAAATCTTAACAAAGATTTCACCACTGAGTATGCGCTTCCAGAATCAGAAGATTCTTCGATTAAGGACTTTGTTTTATGGGTATTACAGCTAGCTGGTAACGATGGACATAATGTCATAAATTTCTTTAACGAAATAGGAGAGTTATCATTCCTAAACATTATTAGAAAATTTTGTCTACCTTATTTGAGGAAATGTATGATTTTATTGCATTCGAGATTTGGCCTGGTGTTTTTCACTCAAACATCGGATGTAATGGAAACGGAGCAAAATGAGTTTGCAAGATTGAGCAAGCTATTAAGACTTCCTTCATTGGAAGAGATTTGTTCGTTAAAAGAAACAAACAGAAGTATGCTTGTAATTATCGCAGGTTGGTGTAGTCATTTGAACATTCTTAGGCGGAAACCATCATCTATAGCCGACTTGTCGGGAAGTCCAAATGATTCCAGCTATTCACAAGAACCATTGGCCGTCACAATCAACCATCCAGCCATATTCGAATTGGTAGGCTTACCAAAGAGATTAGATTCTTTATTCGAAGAAAGCATGAGAAGAGCATGCAAAAAATGTAAAACTGTTCCAAATGACCCGGCCTTGTGTCTGTTATGTGGTACTTTTGTATGTAGTCAAAGTTATTGTTGTTCCGATGAGACTCGTGGTGAATGTTACATTCATGCTAAAAGGTAAGGTTCTAAAACATACTTTTTATTCCGTATTCAAATTTAAATTATTAATCCTAAAGTGTCA